CTTCACAACAAGTATCTTGAAAACATTTACTGAAACAAAAAGTAATCGTCTAACTTTAAATAATGATAAATCATATATAAAAATTATCTCATTACCCCATTAACACTGCCAACCCTTAGGAATGGGAGCCAGCTTTGTCGAAGTGCCAGCAGAACAGTAGAGTCTAAGGCACAGACAGGAAATGATGTACCTCTGCATCCTACCAATGACAGCAGCCTTGCCATTGCTAATCCTGCATGGAAAAAGTATATTTTAAACATTTATATAATTAGTTTACAATTCCATTTTACCATCAAGTCTTAGTACCGTAGCTGTCTCTCTAATATCAAACTATCAATTATGTCAATGGCTATTACTTACGAATAACATTTTTGAATGGCAACCTTTGACTGTGTAAAAACACCAAGATACACTTTGTAAAAAGTAACATACTAATACTAGTGCACATATCGAAACAATATTGTTAACACATTTTGAGGAATAAAACAGAAGCATATGAGAACACTTTCTATTTCCACAAACAAACCACCTGACAATTCTTAATCCCTTAGTGCTGGACCTCATCCATAGACGTGTGACGCCTGGCTCTGTCCACCCTGTCCCCTCCCCATGAACCTGTCGCTCCCCCCTGCCCTGCCCCAACTCTCTGTGCAGGCCATTCCATCCTGCCAGCTGCACAAAAGCTCCCCACTCCTTCTACACCAATGTCTTTAGACTTGAGCACTTTTACCACAATCCCGCCTGTGAAATACCATATGAAAATGTCCAAAGCCTGGTCCCACAAGTCCACATGTGTGACCACGTCAAAGAAGGGGTTAAGTTGCAGAAAGCCTGGATTTAAAAGGGTTAAAAAACAAGAGTGATTTTCAACAAATTTCAATTCTTATCTGCATATCCTCTTACAATCAATAAAAATTATGATTTTTTTAAGACACACTAACTGCCTAATCATCTCTCTTTCAACATTGTGGTTAAGGTGTTTCCCGACTTCAGAAAAACACATCAGCATAAAAGATCGAGATTTTAAACAATACAGTCTATCAAAAGAATCGAATTGAAAACTATATTCCCTTTAGAATCACTGAGCATTATGCATTGAGATATTTTTCCTGAACAAATACATAATTTATGTAACTTATTAAACCATATGAATTCCCACCGTCTCAGTGATCGGCAGTGAATAAAACTAATCCTAATTAAAACTCTCGAATGATAACTTACAGCATATGCATCTCAAACGCGTGCCTATAATGCTAAATTCCCTTCAAATAACCGTTTAAAAGGAGAAAATAAGGAAGAAGTTTTCACTCACAGCACTTTCCTTTCTCTTTCCGGTCCGCCTGATACGCCCGAGATGAAATTAATATAACTCTGATTTGCTTAATGCGATATTTTATCCACATACAATATAATGTAATAATCTTATATTAAATTTTGATGATGATGATTATATAAATTTTTGATATTGACCGTTCATACAATTATATTTTTCGTCATTTCGGGAGTAAGAGTGGCAATGTAGAAGAGAGAGTTGTTTACAGCCGACGCGTTCGTCTAAGGCGTTCGTAGGTCTGCGGATGCGACAGGCGGTCTGCGGGTCATGAAAGGGTTTTATAAGGTTTTATAATGTATTTTATTTTAATGTATTTTATAATATATTTTTTAAAGGTTTTATAATGTACATCGGGCTTTGTTTTCAGAGTGTAAGCAACAAGTGCACGCGCGCCTACACACAACTCACTCACTCCCTCTCCCTCCCTCTCCCTCTCTCTCTGTCTATCGGTTTTCCTGTCTGTTTGTTTTTCTGCCTCTCATCCCCCTCTCCCTCTTTCCCTCTTTCCGGCTATCTGTCTGTCTCACACACACATACTCTCTCTCTCTCTCTCTCTCTCTCTCTCTCTTTCTTTCTCTCTCTCCTCTTCCTCTTTTATTTTCTTCTCGGCTTCTTCTTTCATTTTTCACCTCTATATTCCTCCTCCTCCTTTTTTCCTCCTCCTAAATTTCCATCTCATCACCGCCACCTCTGCTTCTTCGTCCTCGTTTCCTCCCTCCCCTCTTCCCTTTCAGCAAAGCAGTCACTCCAAAATTCCCATCGTGGAGGCTCTTGCTCTCCGCTTTCTCTCACTCCTTTCCTCCTTCCCCTGGTTCTGGCTTTTCCCCTTTCCATCTTCTCTCCTGACATTCCTTCCTTGGCTTTGCTCTTGGGGTCGAAATCTTCCTTCTGCTGCGTTTGTTCCCTGGTTCTCTCCTTTCACCTTGGCGCCCACTCCTTCCTCCGGCTTTCCTTTCGAGGCGAGTCTTCGTATACACTTCTCTTCTGCCTTTCCCTTTCTACCTCGGTTCCATCCGTAGTCCGTCAAGAGCCTCCATAAGGACTACCGTTTGTTACAAGGCTCCGTATCTCTGTCTCTCTTTCTCACTATAGCTACCAATCTCTCTCTCTCACCATGGATCTGTATATCTCTCACTATCTCTGTCTCTGTCATTATCTACTTTACAG